TAGCATACCGCATGAATCATCTCTATGCATCACTTTCAGCACACACACAGTACTACACACATAAAACACCTCTGCCGACAGCGCCTGAAGACCACAGCACCTCAAACCATGCACTTACCCAGGGCACAATGCAGACCCTTCCCGTGGAACTCCTCCAGTATTCAGCACGACGTGCCGAGCACACAGAATGTACACGAGGCACAGCACACATTCCTTTCCCATGCAGCAAATCCCAGATACATTGTAGCATGACCCTTCCCCCATCCTCAAACATAACCCAGCTGTATACCACAACACAAACTGCAGCTCTAGACACACACACCACAGCCGACCTTTCCCCATCCAGCACGGCTGATAACCCATCACTTCTTGCAAACATGACTAAAACACACCATACCACACAGCCCGCCAGCACTCACATCACAGTGCACACCCTGCCCTCTTCACCACCTAAAGTATATGACGAAATGAGATATTGTAAAGTAATTATAGCGGTGTCTGGTGCGTAGTAAATGGTATATACCGTGTACGTATAAATAAAACTCATAAACCTCATGCAATGTTCTAGTCCCCCTGAAAACATGCACACACATATTCAAAGCACTTCTAATGCATACCTGTTCATAGGATCTACCCATCCCAACTCTTGATTTTTGGTGAAAATATACTCAATGAAACATGCACGCATCCAACAATTTTTACACGTACAGTTCATTGACAATCGTTATAATTCTTCACATTGCGTCACAATTCTCACTATCTCTGCCCATATTGTTTCACCACTGTTAATTTATACTGTCTGCTCCTTAAAGTTCTCATCTGTGTTGTAAGAGTTTTTGCTGTCATTTCAGTCTCATAGTTAGTTCTTCAGTAGGGTGCAATGCTCAAAACAGACATTATTTATTGATCTAAATTGTTCTTTGGTTTAAAGATGACTTAATGGGATTGTTTCATGGGCTCAAGGTTCAAAAGTTGTTTCCAGGCTATAGCTTTGGGGGTTCCTCCAATTGTGTCCAGTAAGTCTGGTTTCCTCCTTTTGATCAACATTCATCTCTGATCAAAACATTCAGTAACGGTAGGCGGGCACCAGTCGTTTCTTCTTCTCTCATGTCAGCCCAACTCCTGGCATTACGTCATATAGCTGTAATATATGTCACTAAACGTATTCCCCCCCGCCCCATTCTCAGTCCAGAAAACCAGTATATCCGTGGCTCATAACAAGCACACACACCATGGTTCTTTACAAGAATTTATGTTTTTTGAATGAACCCCTTTAAGCAAAGAAAGGTATG